ATGTGACTAAGGCCCACCAACGAATCAAGGTCCTGCCCCAAGACTGGCGCTTCCAGGTAGCACAGTTGGACGACGAATGGTGGGTCAACAAAGTGGGCACCTACGGCATGGCAAGTGCGCAGCTCTACTGGGGCAGAATGGCGGCCTTGCTCCTACGGATCCTCTATTACCTCTTCCCCCAGATCGACTGGCTTCGTCTTCGTCGATGATTTCTGCTGGCTACTTCGCCTACCCACGGGACCGCAATTCACTGCGGCTCTCTTGGGCACACTGGTGGCGTTGGGAACGCCCCTCAGCTGGAAGAAGACGGTAGAGATCAACACCTGGCTCGGGTTCGTGATCCACCCAACCATACCTCGAGTCCAGATGGCGGCCCCCAAGCACATCAAGGTCATGGAGCTCCTGGAGGAACTCCCCAATGGATCCCCCATGTCAGCCAAGGCCATTGAGAAGGCAATGGGCCGGATCCAGTGGGCCACGGCGTGCTGCCCCCTGACCAAGTCTCTGCTCCAACCACTCTGGGCTTGGAAGATGGCGGTCAGGACCATGGGCCATCCACCCACCCAAGGTGGTCCGTATGCTGGCTTCTCTCCTGAAGGAGCTCTTCACGCACCCCTTTGAACAGTACTCACCCTTCTTGCCGAAGTCTCCTTGGTGGGGATGCAGCGATGCTAGTGCATCGAGGACAGGTGAAGCCTATGTTGGGGGCTGGTGCTCGGCCTCCCCGAACCCCACCAAGGACAAGGTCGTATGGTTTCACTATGCCATCACAGCAGACGCCCATCCGTGGGCATTCAAGGATGGCAACCCTCAGAAACGCATTGCGGCCTTGGAACTCCTGGGCACGCTACTTCTCTGCAAGCACCTGGTTGCCCAACAGGGCCAACTTCCGGGACGGGTTCGTCTCCCGGTTGGCAGTGACAATTCAGGCAACATCTTCAGCCTGCTCAACCTCTCGGCCAAGAAACCTTACTCGGTTGCACTGCTGATGGAATTGGTTCTCTTCCTTCATTGTGGGGGCTGTAGCATTGCTCCCAATCACGTACCCAGGGAGTACAACACCTGGGCGGATGAATTGACTCATCCTGACTTTGAAGGGTTCTCCTTAGATTGCCGGCTACCGGCCCCGGAGACTCTCTTTGTTTTTCCTTTTGCCACAAGACTTCTGTCCTCAACGGGATTTTCCTAGTTGCCCACCCAAGATCCAGGGCAGTTTGAAACTGACCAAGTGATACAGGGTCTGGGGGAGGACCCCAGCATCAACCAAAGCGCATTGGAAAAAGCCTGCATGTAGCTTTTTGCGCTCTTGGGATCTTTTTGACTTCTGGGTACATATTTAATTGTTTTTGTTTTTTTCATGGCTGTTGGGCTCCCTCATGCCCAGACTCTCGTAAATGCTGCTGTCTTTGGCTTGCAGAGGTTGAAATACATATGTGCTTACAGTGCGATTTAATGTTGACACAGGATTAGGTGCCATAAGGTCATACCAATACCCCACAGTCCACCAATCTGACCATCCTGTATAGGCATCCACCCTCACCACATAGAGCCTCCATCTCCTGGTCCTCCTCCATGCTCCGATATGCAGTGATCCAATTGGCATGGCTCTTTGATCTATCCTATCAGATCTCTTCCAAAACCAGTCAGAGTACAATGAAATCTACCAACCCCGGTCTAGGACGATGAACGTGAGCGTTTTCGCGGAGCGGGGCTGGCGTGTTCCACTGAGATGTCAGTATGCCGTCGCATTACCGAAAATCTGCCAATTGAAGCCGAAAGCACCAGTACTTACTGGATCTTACTGGTTGCTTTTGCAGTAGAACCTAATGTCAACACCGGATTAATCACTCCCCTTCAAGGTCAACAAGTTTTGACATTGGAGGGATTGGAGACCACATCCCCTGAATAAAGGTGCTGACCTGATGATGGATGATGAGATGATGACCTGGACCTGATGATGGAAGATGGGATTAGGTGTGAATCATGAGAGATCGAACGATTGAACCATGAGAGCCCAGATCGTGGTTCGGGCGTAGCAGAGTCAATGAGGACATCCTTGTTTGAGATTTTGCATATACAAACGTCAGCCCTATGGCCTACGTGTAGGTACCAAACGGCAGGTTGGGTGAAGCAGGTACTCGAATCATTTTTTGGGCGTTCTGTCTAGGAGTGAGGGGGGTGCACCTGGCCATGTTGATTGCGCGGGAATTCGTGCCTGCTTGTTCGGAACATATGGAGTAAGCACAGGTGGTCCGAAGGTACAAATGAGAGGTTGGTGGTTCGTCGTGTTCGAGGACTTCGACTTCAGAAGCCGAGCTGTGGATATTTATGCGCCATTCGATCCATGTGAGACCTCCAACGTTCAGCTACCAAGGATGCTTTGGATGAGGAGCAGGGGGCCTGGCAGACATATGGTGGATCTTTGGTGGATGACCCTGGGCAGCTTGGGATTAACAATTTGTTCGCTACCCATCGCCACCCGACTGGATTGGGGTAGCCTCCCAGTGTTTCGCTAGAGCCAGAACAGTGTCCCGCAAGTGAAGTGGCTGGTCCGGTGGGCATAGCATGAAGTAAGTGTTGTGTTCACGCAAATGTTGCAGGCTCAAAGCACTTTGAAAGGTCACTCATTTTTATGTATTTTGTTGGTGATCACCACAAACGCTACAAAGATAATTGTGTTTGTTTTGATCCCGCAAGCAATCTGAGGCGGGTGCGATTGTTGGTTGATGGCATTGAGCCCAACCTGCTCGCTTTCCTGAGCGAAAAGGACCGCAACAGGCACCTGCAAGTGGAGATTTCCGAGGATGGCATTCAGGATGAGCTGAATGAGGCTCAAAATGAAGGGCTTGGTGATGTGCGAGAGATGTTTATCACCCGATTCGGCGAAGGCATTGAGCACACCTGTGAGTATTTCGAGACTATGCGCACCCTTCGAGCACTTTGTAGGAGTATGGCAACAACTCGCGGCTGCGGGGGTGCTCAAAGCGCGTTGATCGAGGAGATTGTCATTTTCCTCAACCAGATCATCCCAATTAGCAGCACTTTCAAGCAGGTGGCTGAGCAAGTGAAAGAGGAGTTCTGCTAGGCAGCCAAGAGAGCACTATCCAGGCTGTGGCCCTTTTGCCCTTCGAGTATCAAACATCCTTTGTTGATTGCCGGGTTGCTTTCATCCTGTAACGGAGGGGCCGCTTTGATCCTGTTCCCAATGCATTGTTTGGCAGTATGTACTAAAACACATTGACAGTGATAATGGCACCTTTGGATTCAGCCGTTGCAACTTATATATAGGATCCAGGATAATATGATTAGAGTGTGGCTGTAATGCCCCTTGGCTTGGAACAACGTACAAACCAATGCAACGCACTCCTGCTATCCGTATAGAAATATATTGGAGAAACATGGTCAACTTGCAACTTGCCACAGTGTAACAGCTGCGCCTCTTGGGATTTCTTTTGGTTACATGGTTGAAGAGTTTCAAGCACAGTGGAGCCACCCGAATTTGCCGCAACGGAACTTAGCAGTGGCAATAAATCATCCCAGCGCGCATGTCAACCCTTAAACTGGAGAGAAACTCCAACATCACAACGGCTTTTGATGGCACTTGTTGGGTGAGGTGCAGATTTGTTGGGCAGCAGTTCGGCGCAATCCATTGCAAGAGTTGCCTTGCTTGATGCAATGACGTAATGTTGCTAGACTGACACACTCCTGTACCTTTGGAAAGAAGGTAGACTTCTCTTGCAGTCTTATTTATAGTCCACAGCTGGGCTCTGGGAACATCATGCTGGCTTTTGAGGAGTGATGAAGCCATAACGGTGATTCTCACCTTCCAGCTCCAGCTCTATCACAGAAAGGTTACCAGGTTGGGCATCATTTGGCACGAAACCCCCTTTGCCATCCGTAGCCTCAGATCAAGATGACAACTGCCCCAAGTCCCGGGGCATTCCAGATTCCACACGTCCAAACCGAAGTTCTGCATGAAAGAGACCCACGTACCGTGCACTGGCATCATGTTTAATCTTTGTTCCTCCCAGTCTCAAACGGGCAGAAAAACATGTCAGCCTTCACAAAGGGGAAAGTTGAGCGAAGACCGGGTGGCTCCGCACGAGATGTTCCCCAATAGTTGACTGAGCCGCTGAGCAGCAGGGAAAAAGCCGAACGCGGACTGCAAGTAGCTCTGATGCCTGAAGTGAATGTAGTATACCCCAACCAATTAATAGGTGTTTACTCTAGTGGCCCCGGGCTTTGTTTGAAGGGGTTTGGGGGGTGGGGGAGTTCACAACTATAATAAGGTGGAGTCTGAGGTATTAGACTTGGGCTGACCGAAAGTTGTTCTGGCTCTTCGTTGGTAACTTTCCCAGCTGTATTGTTGGACAAGGGTCTTAGCGGTGGGGGTCCCAGTTTTTGTGACATAGCAGATCATTGTACCAGTACATTTGTGTCGCAGTTACTGCGAGTGGACTGTTCAAGCCCGATAGAGATGACAGAACTTGTCCTTTTGGCATTACGGCTTATGTCAAGTCTGTCCATGTGTCTTTTGACTGTGTAATATTGATTAATACTACTTAATGTTCTCATCCATATTAAGTCGTGAAACATCGTAGTGTAAATCGGAGGTTACGGTTTTTCATCTCAACCTTGCTTCAGGTCCACTCATCTACAAATTGACTGGCTGAGACGGGATGAAGCTACAAATTCCGTTTGACAAGTGCCCAACCTCCTAACCTCGAAGCAATTCAGCTCGAACAAGCAAGATACATCGGTATATTTAAATCGTGATGCCAAAACACAATATATATTGCATTAATAAGCCATAAACTTGCCACACTAGCTGCAGCTCAAGACTCATTGAATGGCATCGCTTATGTAATGTCTTTGCGATCCACCAACTTTTAGCTCCTGTTGATGGGTGTTGATTGGTACTCCATCAAACCATGGATGTCAAAGGGTTCCAGAACAGTATATATATATATATAGTAAACTCATGTGACAAGCCTTTTTCAATGGAGAGCCGGGAGCTCTACGAGACACCCAGTTCTGGCAGCGGCCAGCCTGGCCGCCGTGCGCACTGGGAGGCAGTGACTCGGAGTTCTGATCCAGTGCATGTGCGGAATACACCGCCACACTCAAGGACAGCCTGGGAGTTGGTCGTTTCTTTTTGGGATTGTTTCATTGAACATCTCTCACAAAGGTGCATTTGGTTGTACAAAAACATACACGCAGACACACACTGAAGAATTGGGCCAATCCCAGGTGATCATCGGCCTGGGCGTCCCATCGTTGCTGGATGACGAGTGGCTCCAGTCTCCTGCAAAGGACGCCGAGATGCTGTGCCATGAGATCCAGGCATGTGGCCTTTGTCCATCACCTATCTTGGTAATCGATGATGAGCAACCTGGAGGTACATGGAAGGTGAGTTGTAAGTGTAAGTCAGGGAAGACTCCACAACCTATGACCTATAAGAACATATATATATATACCCTAGAAATCAAAAGGCGGTTTAAAAAACATCCGTCAGCCTAAAGGCGGTTTCTTTTCAAGTCTTCGAGGACGATGATTGGGAACCCACCAAATTTGCAAAAGTCAGACAATACCCCCGGAGAGCTTTCTCGGTCTTTTTTCCTTTGTTTGGTTCAGATCGCCATCATTTCATGGCTTGCTTGATCACATGGAGCCGCGCAGTCTTGTTCAGCCTTGGCTGCGCAACCAAAGAGGAAAAAGAGATAAGTTCACAAGATCTGACATACAACCCCCTAATTCTGCCAAAGAACATCTTCATTCGGTTTCTTGCAGATAGAAGCCTTCAAGCTACCAACAACAATCACCTATAGATCTTCGATTATGATTCTAATCCGGTGTAACAGGCCTCAAGCGACCACAGCGAGTGATCCATTCACTCCTTCGGAGTGGGTGACCTCTCAAATAGACACCTGGGCGCCACCACATAAGTCACAAAGTTGTGAAATTTGTTTGGGGTAGGTCTCCAAAGGCAAGTAATTCAGATAAAATTTCCAGTTATTCCTGACCAGGCTCTTTTGATCCAGGCCATTCCATCTTCATCGCAGAAGCCATGCCAAAAGCGTGGGTTGGCATCTTAGCGGCTCCCAACCCAACCAAGTATCCAAAACTAGGACACAGCTTTGATACAGAAGCTCACGTCAGCTAAATAAATTCACCCAAGTGACGGTGTTGATAGCAATACCGAATCAGGTGCCAAAACGCCTCAGAAGACCAATGAATCAAATTGATCCAAGCACCCCGGAGAAAATCATCAACACTAGGCATCCAAATCACATGTGCTTTTGGCCGCATGATCCACAAGTGGCTTCCTTTCCTAGACAGCCGTGCAACAGTTTGGTCGACAGGTCTGTACTGTTTGCACTACACATGAAAGCACATAGGACACACCTGAGATTGGCTTTCCAAAGGCAGTTGTAGAGATCCAGGAATTGCCTACCATCTGACCAGATAGACAAAGCCTGTTGGCGAGTCCTAGGGCCCAAGTGAAATTAAAAACATGGATTAACATGCAATATCATGTACAGCTTTGCTTCATTGACCTCATGAGCTTTCTTAGATCTGACTTGGCCATGGAGCAGAAAGCGCGGAGCATGCTCCATGTGGGCAAGCACACGAGCCATTAGAGTCCTTTGATGCCAGGGGCCAAGTTCGATGGTTTTGGAACAAGGCAATCAACAGTCGATCATGGCATCATCATATCACACACGTGCGCATTCCCACCAAACACTGGTAAGGCTCGTAGCAACACTTGACATTTGCAGCGTGTCATCAGCAGCAACAAACTGATCGATTTGCACAGCACTTGCCAACCGATCACTCAACCATTGAAGGCAAACTCTTCCGTTGTAAGCCTTGAGGCTCAAGAGGATATCATTGTTCTTCTTCAACAACTTAGTTGAAGATACAATGACAGGAACAATGGCTTGCAAGTCAAACTGGGAGAACAGAAAACAAACAACAAATTTTGCGGTTTAGTTTTTGACTTGGCACCATCCCTTTGGTAAAAGGAGGTTGTGAGCAAGATATCTTGTGCATTCTGCACCAAAGTTTGAAGTCTTTGTATGCTGCAGCCAGCTTATGCACCAGTGTCTCTCCAATCGGAGCGAAGAATCCAAGATTCAGGAGGGTCAGCCTCCAAACAGACAAACAAACAAACAAGGGTACTAGTGGACTCAGACAGCTGCAGTTCCAAGCGTATAAACTGCTAATGAGGTGCAAAGCAGCGCCATTAATGACATAGAGAAGGCCCAAATGGACCACGTGCATTAAATCCCAGCGAATCACACTCGGGTGCCAGCCCCGCAGCGCCAAAAGAGAGCCTAAGCATAAGCAGTCAACTCCCAGAGCAGAAATGCAGCAATGCACCCTAATTAAAGATCTTGGGCACGCTACTACGAAGTTTCAGTCCGAGACTCAAATCCCAGTTTCAGGCAACTGCTGCGAAATGAACTGGGCAGGAGAATACATCCGATTAAGCCACGTGGCAGTTTGCCAATTGTAGTACCGCTCCGCAAAAGGGCCATCACTTTGCGCGCCACACTGAAAGCACACACACTTGCCCACCCACGAAGCTTTGCAAGCCCACACCTTCTTATGCCACGACCAGTCTCCTCTGATTTCTGTAACTTGGAAGATACAATGAGGTCGAACAATGGGAGAATTGGCAAGTGATTCCATGTGTGGAGGTAAATCCTCTCCAGATGGACCGGTTGAAGGATGCCGGTTGACCCACAGACTGTTTAGACTCCAAGTGATTCTTCTTAGTGCATGCTGAAGCGTGTGGTGTTTCCAGCAGCACTGTTCCGGGATTGCCAGGACTAAATACCGTGACATCCGAATGCTCTTTGGCCTCCATAGTGGCAACGATACAAATAGTCCGATCACTGCAGTTTGCATCCCAAACTTTGTGCGGAGAGTAGCAGAGTCACCATAGACTCCCAGGGGAACATGATCCACTGTTGAACTGGCCATAGCCCAAGGTTCTCGGTTTTCCCTGGACTTTGTCCAATACTCACGTACAAGGTTTTGTGGCAAGTCAACGCCTGCTTGGTTCCACAGAAATGCAAGTATGCGGTGCGGATCCATGATTGGCCAGTCCTGGATCTCACACCGTGGTACACCTAACAATTTGTCATCGATCTTGATCGGCAGCTTGATATACTCTATGGGAACAGCTGCCTTGAAGAAAAGCACTTGCAAATACGCACCCCAAACGTTTGAGTGTGTGCAATGGATCATGCACGCACTGTATGTTGCATGATCCATCAAACAGGTTTGATAGATCGAGAAACATAAGCAATACAGTTATCACAGATCAGAGCCAAAGAACAAGATCTTTGTCCATGTAGCGCCACCAATCCCGAACAGCATTGTTCTCACTAAGTGTCCCAAGTCGTCGCACCATAGGATGTTGTGGAACAAAGGACCCACAATCCTAATTGCACATGCATAGCCAATCTTGGATGGGATACCGCAAGAGGGATCTTTGACCTGCTGCTGCCGCCAAGGTTCTTTGACGTGGGCCTTCAAGTCCCGCATCGCCTTCCCGACAGAGGCAGCCTTGTCGGGCCAGGGCTCATACCCACAGAACCTAATATCCAGTCTTGTTGGGGTGACAACTTTTTGCCAAGCCGCTCCAGAGCTGACATCATCCACTTGATTCTGTAAGGTGTGGGAAATAGGAGCGTCCCCCACAAGACCTACCAGAAAAAACACATCCAATTAATAATTGAATTCTTGTGCCTCCATGGCCTCAAAATGAGTCTTCGGGATGTTTGTCATGTTTGTCACTCGGCGCGAACAAAACCCTCGTACTTCCAATCCATGTGCTAGTCCATGCCCCAATTAGCCTTTGGCCTTGGGGCACAGAGGACATAGCTTGGCAACCCCAAATTGCAAATATTTGGACATCCAACTAGCCACAGGCCCCAAAGCAGATTTATATAGAATTAACACTCATTGCATTAGAAGCTAGTGACTCCAACCCTCCTGTGGTATTGGCAGTTCCAACAGCGCATTTGACATGGACTATTTTGTCCATCCCATCATGGCTTCTAGGAAAATCATTTCAAATTGCTCCTCTCCAGGAATGACTTGTACTTATCCATCACTTCTTGGGACGACTTGCGCGCTGCTTCCATATCATCCACCTGGACTCATGACTGGTAGCACAATCGACAGTACACCGGTCAACTCCAGCATCATGTGTTAAAGTACGATCCCCACACCTGATTGGAGTCAATGACTTTCTGAACTCTGTCCCTTTGTTTCACCAGCGAACTCCGAGCACTCTTGAGGTCTGGCGCAATCGCATCACGAACGCCAACAGACCTTGGTTCGCGTGAAGCACTTCCGAGGCAGCATAATGAGGGAAAGGGCAAGGGCTTGTTGGTAGGGCTTTCGAGACCGTGCCTACAATTCAATTAGGCTAGCAACCCACTTGTGGACTTGTGGTCCTTCAAAATGGCTATTGGCTAGATGCCATGGATGATGAACATAGGTTGTGGCATGTTGTGTCTTTACACCCACTCTTTTTGCAAAAGCCGAAATGAATCATAAGAACCTACCTCATGTGGGCCTAGACGGGTGGATAACCCTACCTTCTAAGACCGTGCCTGTTGCTGTCCTCAACCTGACAGTTCTTAAAGCAAAAGGGATTTGTTTATCAAAGGGAATTTTGGAACATTTTTTTTGCAAAGTTACTGGCGCAAGAGTTCTATATAAATTGATTCAGATCAGCAGTGTAGCACCACTGTCAGGCTCAGGCCCTGGCATACTTTGCAGCTTGACCTCTTTTGAGCCAGTGTCTGCGATCCTGTCGTTCAGCTGCTTGAGCACCTTCGAACAACAGGGCCAAAAAATCAACAGAAGACCAGAAAGAGCATCGCAAAGTAGCATGTCGCCATTAATTATCATAAACTACTGTACGCATGACAAAAATATGGAACCTTCTTTGTCTCACCAATGCTTTTCCTTTCTGCTGTTTTCTTTGCTGCTTCATCCTCCTTTTCCTTCTCCTTACGCTCCTTTTCAAGTCTTTTTTCTTTCTGCTTCTGAGTCTCTTTTCTTTCTTTCTTCTCCCTCGTGCTCTTCTTCTTCTGACCTTTCACCTTGGTAGCTTTCTTGGATTTCTTACCCTTTTTGGCCTGAAGAAGGAAAGCAATGCGCTAAAACATGAACCACATCATAGCTAGATTGACCATTCTAGTTCTTTAGTGTACAAGTAATCACAAGTATATAGATGAAATGAAGTCAGTGTAAATGGAACAGTTACTGCTTTGATCAATCGACGTAACAAAGCTGGCGCACACAGCCTTCTTCTTCGTCTTCTTTGCCGGACTGCTACTCTCGCTTGTGGAACCTGAACCTA